ATATATATATATATATATATATATAAACAGTGTGATATTTATTGTGATGTATTTGGCATGACTACAAATCACTGAAAACGTGCTTGTTCTTCACTCTGTTCTATTTGAAATAGTATATCCGTAGAAAAATTGTTCGATCACCTGCTTTTACATTTGGGAATATCCTCGCACTATCAAATTCTACAAGCATGAGAGGCATGCGCTTGAACTTTCCTGTTGTTCAAGTACGGCATCACCATTTGACGCATTCATTACCCATATGGGGGCTTTTGAAAAGAATAACGAAGAAGGCACCGGTCATTTTATTAACATCCGGATGAGGTCAAGAGGAAATTGCTCTCATTGGACAGTCCATTTCCAATCTGCTGTCAATGAGTTTGCGAATAGGAGGCGAGGTTTTGTGACGAAATTATGGTTGAAGCGTGAGCAGTATTGGACGCATCACATGAAGACCTCAGCTGGTGTTGGTCTTTCGGGGACTCGAGTTCAATCAAGAGACAAATCCAGTTGGGTCTGGACAGTGGTCCTTCGGAACAACTGTGACGCCCACATTAAAACTATCTTCCATGTAAAATCGCTCGAACAATCCGAGAAGGCGGCTGTCTTTCTCAGTCTGGTTTGAACCAAACCCAGTGAAATCGTCCTGGTACGCCAGAACCCCGTCCAGTCCATTGATAACCTCATTGAAATGAAATGAAATATACCTGACAAAATGTTCAGACTGAACGACAGGAAATTGTGTTGGTACAAATCTTACGGTGTATAGTAGTGGTAATGAGATGTCAGCATCTGGGAATGGAGAGAATCTGTAGTCAAGCATCCACCAAATAGATCTTAGATAAACATGTGCTTCCATGCAGGGCTTTCATGAAATTTTCGGGTGTCAAATAGGTTGCTAAGCATTTTCTCAACCAAAGGTTTAGAGCCAATCAGTAATCACCGCAAATCGGTGGTGTTTTTCCATCCCCTTTTATCACTACCCCCGGACAGTTTTCAGTTTAAGTCAGGATTGCTTTGTGCACCCTGGTTGGTTACTTTTAAGCCTGATTTAAAAAATGCACTGAAAAGAAGAGTATGAAAAAGACGAAAAACAAATGATAACTTGATTGACCGGTTAAGGGGCTAGTGATGATGGGTATGTGGTTAAATAAAATACCGCATAGACATTAGTGTCGTCCTTAAATGTGAAGATGCAGGCGGGAGCGTTGTGATTTAGAACCGAATAAGGGAATTGAGAAAGCCTCATGGATTTTATTCTATAGACAGTGGCCGATATTGGACAACAGACGACCGATCATATGCATCAAAATTATGACGAACAATGAAATTAATAAGATCATTACGGAAAACATTAAATAATCTGGCGGAAAAGTCAACAGATCTGAAAAAACAAATAATAAAATGTTTGCATTTCAAACATGGAAATGACGGATAATGAGGCGATAAAATAATCACGTACTATGCATTCGAGGACACTAAGTCTGCTCAGTTTTTCTAAATATTAAAGGACGTAACAGTGTGCATCACATGGGCGACAGCGTTATCGAATAATCTTTAAACACAAACTAGACAGAGCTGTTCGAACCTATTAATGATGACATTCGTTTAATTAGCAGGACCCCAAAATCCTAGCCTAACACAGGGGTACAAGTAATAGAGGAATACTTACAGAACACTTTCTTCGGGAAAAGGGATAATTTTTACAGGCTTCCAGCTTTGGAGAATCATGCCTGTTACGTTCCCGGATAGCCCAGAGCGAG